CAAGTGGCACAGCTGAAGTAGATCCCATCTTGGGGGGTCAGATGTGGGCTGGTCGCTACAGGCTCAGACTCCCCTCCCTGCTGCCCCCTCCCCAGGGCCTCCAGGGCCCAGCAGGCGGGACCCTGCATGGCAGGGCAGAGCGGGGCTGGGCAGAGAAGCTCATTGCTATTGGGAGCCCCATGGCACTATGGCAAGCTGCCTCCTGTCCGTCCAGCAGCAGCCAGGGTTACAACTCTGTGCCACTGCCCCCACTGCTGCCTGGCAGGCAGGGAGCGCCTCACCAGGGTAGTGCAAGGCTTTCAGCAGCAACAGTTGTCCCCGCCTCGCTCTGCCCTGCTGCACTGGTTCTCACCCACTGGACTGCAGAGGCTCCAGGGGGAGACAAGCTCACAGCAGGCAGCCCACACCCACCCCCAGTCAAGCCCAGCACATAGATCTGGGGGGCGTGTGCCCCCTTGCCGCCCTGCAAGTGCATACAGTTGCAGGGAGCCAGCTCCATACCCCCTGCACAAGCTGCCCACACAGCCCCATCCTGCTCCCTACCTGGGCCCTACAGCTTTGCAGTCCAGCCTGGGGCCCCAAGCCCCATGCACTACCCCAAGCTGGGCAGTGACAGCAGCCCCAGCCCTTCCCAACTCCCTCCTTCCAATGGGGCCTCAATCCCCCCTTGACCTCTGCCAGACTTACCTGTAGGTGCTGCTCTCCATGCTGCCTGGCGGCCATGTGCATGTGTGAGTACACACACGTGAATGGCGCCCCCTGCCTGATCCCCTTCTCCCACTCCCCCAGCCCTTTGCAGGCTGGAACTCTGCCAGCTTGCAGAGAGCTCTTTGCAAAAGTGGAAAATCCATGTTTCTCTGCTAAAATGAAAAATCCACATTTTTCTTGGTTAAAAAAGAAAATCCCTGGGCTTTTTTTTCCATGGAAAATGGAAAACCCAGATCCCTGGTGATAATTATATTTATTAAAGAGTAAGGTACAGAAATACTGGATACTTAGACTCTCCATTTCTGATTTCTCAGCTGTCACAAGGATAATACATATATACATAATAAATATCTTTATTTTAAGTACCTGGAGTAGAATTTTCCTTGCTTTGCTCTTTGTTCATGCTGTAGCCTCATGTTTTCTAATTTGACTGGACTTGGTATGAATCCTATTTCACAGCCTTCTTTCACCAACCGTCCTATCCACCAGTCATTGTTAAATTTCTAAAAAAGAAAAAAGAAACAAAAAATACATTTATTAAAAAATCAATTACATTATAAATTAATTTTGTTCTCATTTTTAAATTTTCAGTCAATTCTTTTTTTAATAATTCTCCTTGCTCTTAGTCACTGTATTACATTATCATGTAATAGTAATGAAGAATCCTGGAAATCTGCAGAAGCACATTTAAAAAAATAATTGTAACTTGTAAATGATTAAATGTTATTGTACTAAATCACTAACTTGCCTTTCTAATCTTCATCACTCTTCTTAAACCTCCCACCACACCGGCTTTATCCCTTTATTTTACATACTGCTCCCTCTAACTCTTCAAATGGCAGTGTTCCTTCTTTTTCCCTGCACCTTGGTTTCTCAATGGTGGACACTAGATACTTCTTCCATATTTCTATCCCAATCACCTGTAACAATTTGCAAAGCCGGTCTCAAGCAGCTGCCATGAATTTTATGTACTCATAAGACTGAAGTCTTTACATAAAATATAATAACCATATTTTCACATTTTAATGTGCAAGTTATCTGTCAAGAAACTTTAATTTAATTTGACAAAATGATCAAGGGCTTGAAAGGCAAGTCATCTAAGGAGAGGGTGAAGGACCTAAGCATTTTCAGCTTGCAGAAAGGTACTGAAGAGGGCACAGGATAGCAGTCTTCAAATACCTGAAGGGATGCCATATAGAAAAGGAAAAGTACCTTTTCTTTTTTGCTGCAGAGAGGAGGATGCAGGTCAGTGGTTTCAGTTGTAGCAAAGTGAATTTAGATTGGATATCCAGAAAAACTTATTCATTGTGAGAATAGTGAGGCAGTGGAACAGATTGCCTGGGGATGTTGTGGACTGTCCATCACTGGAGGTGTTCAAGAAGAGGTTGGACAGCCACTGGTTGGGGATGCTCTAGGCGTAGCTATGCCTATTTTCTACAATGAGTATTTCCCATGCTTCTGAGTTTTACTGATTGCTCCTGCTGCCTCCCTCCTTTTTTTTCTGCTGTGTGTGTAGGGTTGGCAGGATTTGATTTTTTAATCGGTAAAGACTGATAAATGTTGATTTCACCTCACACTCATAGACACATGAAAAAATATTTCCATCTTTAATAATCAAAAAGAGAAGAGAAAAACAGAAGGGAGTCAGACTGGAGTATAGAGGGCCCAGTCTCTTTAAAGAGAAAAATAGTGGGCAGCCCAATGACTCGTTAATTAAGCAATTAGCTGCTCATCCACAGGCGCTGAGAAGTGGGCCAGAGGAAGATAACAGGGTACTTAAACCCCTACTGGAAACTCAAAGGGGAAGAAGGGGGTGGTACAATATCTGAGCCAGACGGGAAGCAGCAGCTGTGGAGGAAGGTGTGCAAAGTAGTGCCGGGGAGTTCCAGACACCTGAGTGGGACAACTCAGCTGCAGAGAGATTGTAAAAAGATGTGAAGCCACCTACTGGTGATAACTGCTACATAGCGAGAAAGACTCCAATTAGAAAGGATACAAGTTTTGGTGTTTTCTTTGCCTTTTTGGGGTTTTTTTTGCATCTGGGGGTGGAAGATCTTTATGTTATTCATTTAATTTAAATCAATAAAAATTGAAATAAATGCTTAAAAATGAGCATCAATTTTAGCCATTAAAATTGTATAAAAAAAATCAAATTCTACCAGGCCTATATAGGTGTCAGGGTGTTTTAAGCCTCCCCAAAGGCATTGGGTATTAGCTACAGCTAGGGCTGGGGACTTCAATTGGGGTGTGCTGATTCTCCTGCTAGGAGCAAAACTCAGAGGTTCTTGGCTGCAGGGTCTTGCCTCTGCTCAGGGTCACACCAATCACCATATTTGGGGTCAGGAAGGAATTTTATCCCATGATCAAATTGGTATGGGCTGTGGGGGGCTTTACCTTCCTCTGTGGGGGGTAGGAGGGGTGGGCTCTCTACCTGGGACCTGTTGATCATATAGAGAAAACATTTTATAGAAACAGGACATTGGCTGTTGTGGTCCTCCTGCTTTACCTATGGTAGGTTAGGGTGTTAGGTCTATGTTGTGTCAGGGTTGAGGGTAGTCTTATGTAGAGTTTAGCTTATGGTTGTATGGGATGGTTTGGATACGGATGTTCCTGCCTCAGGTAGAGGTTTGGATTAAATGACCTCTGGAGGTCCCTTCCAGCCCTACTTCTCTATGGGCATGTCTACATGTCACCCTAAGGTGACGTAGCAGCATGCTACAGTGACACAGTGATTGCATGGGTCGACACATGATCAGCAGCTATATCACCATAGTGGCACACTCCCCATTGTAGCATGCTGCTATGGTGACATAGTAGTGAAATCTAACCGTGGACCATGCGCACGGTGCAGTACGAGCGGTTATGTGCCATGCTTCAGTACTTCCAAAAGGAAGTACTAAAGCACAGCCATGTGTAAACGCACCCTATAGGAATGTCCGTACATGCAGCCACGTGCG